CGGTGAACAAGGATTTCCATAGGGCTGAGTGCTGTGTTGCAATTGTAAATGTCTCCAATTTTACATAAAAAGGGAAATTTTGGGGCTTTCCTTCTCCCCCCAGTAATAATTTTGTAAAAGATATGATAGGGAACAATCTATGCAGCGTGGAACGGGCCTCCCCCAAGGAGGACTGAGTTGAGAAAATTGGGCTCACTTTCACAATCTGACTGATTAGCTTTTGTAGACTGTATATTGAGCCCATAAAATATGCTCATAAAGGGCTCAGGCAAGGAAGGATTTTCTGTGCATATACATTTGGCTAGGTTAACTATGCACTGAAACAGCACGACAAAATACACAGTGGCTAACTGCATAGAAAACCAGGCTCGGTTTTCAAGTATGTTGCTCCTTGAGATGTGTACAATAGGCTGTCGTCTTTGATTTTTAAAAAATGCATGCAATATGACTGCTGGTTAATATGGTTATTAAGATGCATTCCTTAGAGGGAAGAGATTGTATTACATATAAAGCCTGAAACAGTGAGGGCATGTTTAGTCACTGCAGCATGACAACGCCATATGAGAATGAAAAACCTGCGGTGTACTGCACGTGCATTTACGAGACCGAAGGAAACATGAAACTGTGTTTGAGGGAGGAGCCAGGTGCTCATGAAACAAAACACTGTATTAAGCTGGAAATGCACATGGGGTTCAGGATGTCTGAGCAAGCCTAACATGAGCATTTTAGGACTTGTGAGATTAACCCAGTGCTTTAATCTTCAGCAGGTTTTGTTGTTTGTTTTTGTTTTGTTTTGTTTTCCCTAGAGTAATTTTAGTTTATTACTCAACAAATGGGAAAGGCATTGATTTGCCTTTTTAGAAAGATAATTTGTCTGATGTTGACTGAATTATATGACTGGATTAAACTTGCATAATGTGACTTTCAGAGAGTGACTAATTGGAATTTACTGCAAGCCATGGATGACTTTAAAATCAATTCTGTAGAGTCTTCATAATAAGACTTACTGATTGTGAGGTTAGTACTATAAAATATGCATATATTATCCAAATAACACCGAGAACAAATAGTGCTCAAGAAAATAGCTGCTTCTATTGCATGTGAAGGAGTGCTCCAAGGGGAAGAAAGGAAAGTGGTGTCACACTAGGACCCCAGACTGAACCACCGTTATAGCTGAAGTTTTAGGACAAATGAGAACATCTGAAATAGCAGGTTATAATCTTCGGGGGTTTTGGTTTGGTTTGGTTTTTTCTTCCCTCCCTTTAGTCCGTATGTACAATGTACAACCTCTAAACAGATGTCTTGGTTTAAAGGTTGACATTTTGCTGGGCTTGGGTTTGTTTGTTTGATTTTTAAGTCACTGAAATATACAGGACTGAGAGGCTGTTTGCAGTTGTGTGCTTTGCTGAGAGTTTACTTGGCTATTAATTTCAGTCATTCTGGTTTTGGTTTACCTCAACCCTATGAAATCATGTTCTTAAATTAAATTTTAAAAAGTTCTCCAGTCCCCTTCCTCCCGTGGTCTGCCCTATATACTGCTTCCTAAACATGCAATGATTGCATATCTGTCACAAATCAGTTAAAAAGTAACATAAAATCAAGACTTTACTTTGAAAAGGGGAAGGGAGAAGACTTTCCTCCTTACATTTCTACCTCTTTTTCACCCCATGTGTAATGGACAGTCTCTAATAATTGTCCCCATTAAGGCAGACTTCCGACACAGCAAGCTCTGAAGACAGCTGCTGGAGAATGGAAGTGCTGGAGGAGGCTGGTGGGTGGGCATGCAGGAGCCACCGACAGAACAGGCGTTGGATCAGGAGCCAGCCATGGATGTAAGAAGAGCAGGGCTTGCAGGCTGGGAATGAGAACAGCATAGGGTGATCAGAGCCAATGAGAACCTCAGAAGAGAATTGCATCCTGCAGGATTTGAGCTGAATCCATAGATCCATTATTTCTCATGCACTCCCAATGGTTTTAACTCACCTAGGGCACCTGGAGGATGGGAACTTGCTCCCTGCTGCTTTGGTAACTGATGAACAGATAATCTAAAGATCTGAACCTGCCTGGTGGTCAGCTAGGTGTGTACAACAAATATTGTTTTCCAATTCAGATTTCAAACCGAAGGAAGAGGTCTGTGTTAAGAGCACTAGCTTGCAACAGCAAACCTGCAAAGTTAGGAAATGGCAGAAGAATGATGTATGCGTTCCATGATTATGTCATCTGAAAGCAGTTTTAGGATGGTGAATTTTAACTATAACACTAATTTATGTTGGGAAAATATATGTTAGAAATACACAACATTCTATTTTTCATATTTTTTCATTAAAAGAAAAAAAAAGTTTTCTTAACGTTATGGTTTTAACTGTCTTTCAGTCCAGGTTTTTGGTGTGCACAAATACAGTGCATATAGCACATGAAAAAGGCTGTATGTGTAGGTGTATGCAGTAGTCCTTTATTTGTGTACAGCAGAAAGTGCTTTCTACTGAACAGTGGCAAACTGATTTATGTAAAACCAATAAGCAGTCCTTGTTAGATCACTCTAACATGAAGCGATGTTAGAATTAAAATTCATAATCTTATAACTACTTTTCAGATTATAACATGTTTTCGTAATTACAGCCATGAGATATGACCTTTCCCTGTTGGGTAGTTTTGCTTTCCCTTTTATTGTCAATCTTAAGATTTAATTTTCCAGGATCCAGAGATCAGTTTCTGCTAATATGACTCTAAAGTGCAATTGAAAATAAATCAGTTCTTCAGAATTAGGAAAAAGAAAGCTGACAATTAAGGAGTAAGCATACAAAAAAAAAAAAAAAAAAAAAAAAAAGGCTCTCTACCAATGACTGAAAATTTAGAATGCTTTATCTTGCTTCTTAAGTGAAATTGTACAGAAACTAATAAGAGTTGATTCTAATAGTAAATGTACTCTTGGAAATGGCTGGGTTATTTATTTCCAACAAATTAAATTTTCAAAGGGTTTATTTCCAAGTACCAAGTTTTGGTGATATATTTTTCCCTTTAAAATAAGAGGAATTTGGGGTTCCAAGGAAGCATGTAACAAAAGTGATTTTCTAAAACTCCAGTTTGCCTCCTGAGACTGTTGTCACCTGAAGCAGTTTGGAGAGGGCAGCTCCTCTGTGTCAGGTTTAGGTCTACCTTGTTCCACAAGGACTTTTGCCTGCTGTAGTCTCCAGGAATGAAACCATAAAGTGACTTCAAGCTCATGCAGTCCTTTCTTCCTAGCTGAAGGCCTTCTTCTTCCTGCCCTGTGTCCCTACTATTCTTACATATCCACATAGACAATATGGTTAGTTTTGGGGATCTCTTCCCGCTCAGCTCTTTTTTCTTCATTTCCTGTTGCCACATTACACTTACCAGAAGGACATGCAGGAAAACATGAGGGACGCGTAGGTACTGACCTGCCACAGAAATTAGTGGTTAAAAGCAGGACGGGCAGATTGAGGTAGCCATTGGAAAACGGTTTCTCTACAGGGTGGATCAAGCACCTCCTGTTTGTGATGAGGCTGTGAAGTGAGCTGGGTACTCCTAAGGCCTGTGTAAGCCACTAAGGCTTGACAGCTTCACCCTGTATCCTATCTAGCCAGGGTTTCGGTTGTTACCTATTGACTTGCAATGCAAATTAGTGGTTGGTGAAGCCCATATGTTGGACCTTAATCTCTGCAATTTGCCCCTGTGTGGAAAGGCAGCAGGTTGCTAAAACCTGGAGGGAGGGTAGTGGTGGCTGCGCAAGGGATCCAGGGAGGCTCGTGGTGAGCATTTCTCTTGCTGTATTTGCACGACTGAGCTAAACGGTGACACTGCAATCCAGCTGCAAAACACACCAATTCCACCCAGAAGCCTGCGACAAACCGTGCTCGTCTTGGCTTGTCACTGAGTCATGAGAGATAAAAATACCTTTGCTGCAGAAGGGAGAGTGGTTGCGGTGCCGCAGCCTGTGCAAAGAGATGGGAGGGCTGGACCCTTCTGCAGGCAGGTTGTGCCCATGGAGTGATCCTCAGGGGACCTGTATGCCTAGGGGGGACAGTGGCCAGCCCCAGGGCGTGGGTCACAGGTGTAGGTAGACCAAAAGTCTGGGTTTGCTGTTTCTGAACTGTTTGCAGATGTGTGGGGAGTGCTAGGAGGAGGAAGGCAGGAGCAGGGTGGCCGTGGTGCCCCGTGGGGGTCCTGTTATGCTGGGGCTGCACTGGGTGCTTGTGTGAGACGCTGCATCCTCGCTTTGGGCAAGGGGCAGCAGGGACCAGGTCGCCCTAAAGGAGGGCACCGCAGCTTCTGGGCCTTGGGGTCTTTGGCAGGAGGGGGCCTGCGGTGGGCTTCTGGTGCCTTGGATCCTGACGGGCATCCCCGGCGTGAAAACCAGGGGCAGGTGTACAGGTGTACCTAAGGGAACAGGGGCGAGCTGATAATCCCAGATCCCAAATAATGTGAAGGGGGGGGGGCGAAGCGTCGCGGCGAGGCTCGGCTCCCCTTCCCCCGGCTTCCCCCCGGGGGGCGCCTCAGCCGCCGCCGGGGCTCCATTGGCTGCGGGCGCGGGGCCGCCCCCGCCCGGCGCAGCGCCCGCCCCGCGCAGGCCGGCGGGAGGCGCGCGGCCCCGCTCCGGCCCCGCTCCGCAGCCGCCGCGGCCGGGCGCCGCTGGAGGGCGAGGCTGCGGGCCCGGCCTCCCCGCCCGCCTCCCCGCCCGCCGCTCGCCCCATGCCGGCGCCCAGCCGCCTCTCGGCCGCGCCGGCCCGCGGAGCGCTCCCGGTGGCCGCCATGGCGCTGGCCGCGGGGCGAGTGTGAGCCGGCAGCCCGCAGCCTCCCGTCCCAAAATGCCGTCCCGAGAGTCCTGGCCGGGGCCGAAAGGTCCCCGCGCGGCCGTGCCCGGCGCCAAGCAGGAGCGGCGGCAGCAGGACTTGCTGCTGGCGGCCCTGGGGGTGAAGCTGGGGGCGCAGAAGCCGGCCGCGACCATCTGGCAACCTCTTAAACTCTTTGCTTATTCGCAGCTGACGTCGCTTGTCAGACGGGCAACGCTGAAGGAAAACGAGCATGTTCCGAAATACGAGAAGGTCCATAACTTCAAGGTAAGGGGCTGCGCGCGGCGCCGGGGCTGGTGCGTTCATTTATGAGGGGTCCTGGGCAGGCTGTGACTTCCCCAAAACTTACACGCTTCGGTCAAACCCCGTGGCCGGCTAAACCCGTTAGGCATCCCTGGGTCATAGCAGCAGAGGAACGAGGACCTCGCGGGTTGCTCGCACACATGTGTTTGCTTTGCTCCTATTTGTCGCACCTGGGTTATCCTTGCTCTTTAAACTTGTTCCACAGCGAGGGATGCTAGCCGGGAGAGAAGCTGTCAAAGTTTTCTTTCAGCTCAGGTGATCGTAATTCAGTTTTACTTATGACAATGTGATGCTGAAAAATCGTTTAGGTCTGTGATGAGAGGATTAAAGCGATCTTATCTGGGTTTGTGGCTGGTAAATAGCTTTGGAGGTAAGAAGCATGTTCTGCTGCATCTGGATCGAGCAGATGGTCGGCATTTCCCTCCGTTTCTGGCTTTTCTCCTGTGTTAATGAATTGAGTGTGACGAAAGGAGCATGGCTTACTGTGGGGCTGCTGGAACTGCTGACATTAGCCACCTTGTGCTATAATAAAAATTTACTCGGTCTTCTCTGTAGCTTCTAATTATTGTTCTAATTTTTTAAAATAAATTATGTTCTTTATTAGGACACGTCAGTGTAGCATATGCATGTTTTGTGTCTACATCTGTAATAAGTGTCCAGTAAAGATTCAGTAATTCAACCTTTTGGCAGTCAAATGCATTGCATAATACGCAGCCTGTATCTCTCAGATACCAAGCGAATTGATGTCATGCTGAACTGTACATGACAGCACAAACTTCATGTACAGAACATGAAGCCCAGATTTTCTTTTTAATGTGTTTTTTGTTTTTTTTTCCCTTATAGCTTTTGCTTTTATTTATCTTATCAGAAGGGAAAATAATCAATGTCATATAGGTATCTGATGATAGAAGCATCTATTAATTATCTCTAGCTTTCATTTCCATCACACATGTGCATGTGTGAATGTACACACGCATGCACATATGTATGTTTACCTACAGGCTGTTTGGTTAAACTACCTTCTGTCTTTTCAGTGCAGATCACAAAAAAAGGAAACTTTAAATGATTAGGATGTTTTGTTGGACTTGAGTCCTCTAATAAAGCACACATTTGAAAATCACGTATGGAACGTTACATGGAAGTAGCATTTAATATGAACTCTTGGCATGATCTAATCCTGCTGTCTGTCAGTTAAATGCAGAGGTTGATTTTTTCCCCACAGGATCCTGAGGCATCCTAGAGGTCTGAAATATCTTGCAACTTTCATTTGTTCCTTAGAATGTAAAGATAATTCTTGTAGCTGCCAGTAGATCATGATTTTCCATATGCTACAGCCTGTGCAGGATAGTATGTATTTAATTTTACATACATCTGTACTCGTTAGTTGCTTTCCTTCAGCTGTCTGAAACAAATCTGTTTTGAAAATAATCCAATAACTTGATTTTCATTCATTTGGTTTTGTTTTTGTGTTTTATTTTGTTTTTCCCCAAAACTGTCTTTGGAAAGTTTTAAAGCCGTGAGTTTTCCATCTCCTTTTTTGAAATCAAGCATGTCTGATCCAAGGTCATAGATACAGCACAAACTTTGCATACAGATTGTTTTCTTTATAATGGTTGTATTGTAGTCCCTTTTTATGTAAAGCTGGTAGAAGAATATACCTTTAAAAGTAACAGTTTTCTCCAGTCAGTGCCAAGCAGTCAGCCTGCACAGATATTTTTTGCTATAAAAGAGAAGAACAAGACCTTGCACCTTAAGCGGCGTGCAGCAGCCAGCCTGCCTGCCCAAGGAATGCTGCTGCCTTAACAAGCCCTGCCCATGGACCTGTCCCTTTTTTAAGAAATAATCATAAGCCCTTCTGGGTTATCCCTTCTGGGTTACAGACCTGAAACGAGTGCGGCTCGTTGATTCGCAGCTTTATTGCTCCTTGCCTCTGTCAAATTTTTCTTCTCAAATGTATAGGCATCATCATTTTAAATGTCTAAATAAGTATCCTAGGTCACCTGCCAGGCAGCAAATGTGCCACCCTTGTGGGAGAGGAGGAAATGTCAGTTCCAGAATCCTTTCCAGGCCTTTCCTTGGAGCTAGGCTTCTGGAAAAAATTAAAAAATAACTTGTAGGGTTCGGCTACCCAACAGTGACTGCTGTCCCCAGGGGCTCCACCAGCAAAAAGGGGGACATACACTGCTTCATGCCTCTGCAGCTGATGTCCTCTTCCTTGCACGGGTACAAGGCAGCAGATAAGGACCTCGCACCTCCTCCCGACTGCTTCTATGGTCAGTCACATCACTGTTCATGCAAATAAAGGGCTTTTAGAAATCCTTTTATGCTGGAAATGCTGTAGCATCCTGGTAGAAGGAGGAGAAATGGAAAATTGTTAATGCACAACAACTAGCGCTGGGTCTTGAGAAGAAGGCAGGAGCAGCCGCTCTGCAGAAGGTCCAGGTTAGCTAGTACCAGGGGGCTTGGGCACAGATGAGGAGACCCAAATTCATTCTCTGCTTCTGCACCATGTGTACCGTGGGCAGTGGCAGCCAGGGAAAGAGCAGGCACAGGGATGTGGGGGGGCTCTAAACCCTCTGGCTGTTGCCTCCAGCAAGCCTTACATGTTGCAGAGGATCACCGAGGGAAGGGGTGAGCATGAAAGCTCATTTAACTCTGAAACCATCAAGCTCTCCTGAACAAATCTGCTCAGCTACATTTTACTCAGAGGGCTGTTGGAAAGAACGTAAGGACAGTCCTGCGAGGAGTGCTGACACAGGGTTGGTGGTTTTTGAGAGGTTTTGATCTTACTTAAATCTGTTGGCACGTGAGGTGCCTTTTGCCTGGCGTGGGCAGCCTGCCCGGCTGGGGTGGGCAGGCACGTGCAGCAGGGCTGGCCGGCAGCGAGCTCCTCGGCCCCGTAATGCTCTCCTGGCGGGCAGCACTCGGCTGCTGGGAGCACATCTCGAGCACAGGCACGCAGCGGCTAGGTTCTCTTAAATTCATCTCCTTAAGTAAGGAAAGGGACAATGGTTTGCAGATGGCAGGTCTGACCACTTTTTTAATGCATATGCCTCAGGATAAGAGCTAAATGTTAAAAAAAAAAATACTTTTTTATGTATATTTGTTGTTTTTTTTTTCTAATTTATAAAAAGCTTCTATTAGTGTTTAAGAAACTAACAAAACCTCCTCTATGAATGTAATATAAAAAATTAATTTTCTGTTAATGCAAACATATCAGCTAAGAGAAATTTTAGTCTTCATTGTTTGACACAACGTTTTATTTAGCTCTAACTGAATAATGGGATCTGAAGGTGAGCTAGATCTGGGAGTGGGACTTGATTGGGTCTGTCTGTCTGCATATTTCATTTCTTTTGCTCTCCCTCTTTATGCTATGCTTTTCTGCAATCCAGCACGCCAAATGAGAAAAGGGAAGAAAACTGAGATTAACAGCAGGAAATCTTCCTGGCAGTGAATTTGTTAGTCAGTGCAGTAACCTCTCCATCACTTGGCAAATGTAAAGTACGTTCAGACAAAGCACCTTGAAGGTCTTTACCCCACTCCAGCCCATGTGGCTCATGGCCCCGAGACTGTTTCACTGCAGTGGCTGGCTGCTGGTGTGCCTTCAGCAGCCGCCAGCCTTGGGGGCTTGAGCCCACAGAGCTCTGCAGGTGTTCGTAACCACTGACAGTCCCAGGCACAAAGCCACTCTGCTGCCTGGATTAGCACCACGGTGCTTCGCTGAAGCAGGGAGGTGTCTGCAACTGTCAGAGCTGGGCTGAAGTCTGTGCTTCCTCACACCGCGTTCCCTAGGATGTTGTCTTGCTTCTCTTTTGCACCTCATATAATTTGTATGTCCCCAGAAAAAAAATCAAAGACTCATCAAGGAGCAGTCTCTGCTAGATGAGCTTTGCTGGTGTAGATGGACTCGAGCATCGCTTTTGTGGAGACACTGCTGATACTGAGGGTTTTTCCTTGGGAATAACAAATAAGCTAACCTGGCCCTGGCTCAGATTTTGCTGGTGTAATTGCATCTTCACTAGGTGTTTTGCCAGTGTAAAAAGTCGTAACAAATTAATTCCATGCAAAATTGTGTTATTCTAAAAAGAGCTGCTCGTGAGAGCTGTGCCTAAACCCTGAGAGCCAGAAGATGGGCAGTGCAGAAGAAACGCTGCAAAAAGACCCAAAGCTGTAACAAACTCCTAATGTTGAGCAGAGCCATTTTTCTGGGACTTCTGAGACGAACCAATTTCTATTTCTGATCTTCTAAAAAGTGGGGCAAGTGCCGATTTGGGGCAAATCGGTCTAGCTCCACTGAAAAGAGTGTGCCGCTTTTCATTAAGTCCAGCCCTGGCAACAAACGTATTTTCAAAACATCTTTAAATGAGTCACTGCACTCGAATGAATATTCAGGAGAACTGGGTGCCTCTAGCACAGTCCCCCGAGAGAGCCTCTGCATGTACTCAGAGATAAGAAAACCTCAGGAAATTTTAGGTTTCTTTAGACTCCTAATACTTGGGGAAAATGTTCAAAGGCATGGAAAATATCTGGAGAACAAAAGTGGAGGAAAAGCCTCCACAAAACTGCTCAGAAGATCTCAGCAGTTCTGCACAGCTGCTCCTAAAACTCATAGTGTAGTATAAGGCAGTTCAAGCCAGAAAAGCTTTTAGGGATTGATGGATATTTTTTTCTCCTAAGGTATTTAATGTTACTTTTACTTTTAAAATTTTTGTGGAAAAGCCTTGGCTTTTCCAAAGCAGCTTCCAAATAGTCCATTATTTTTTAACCCTCTCTGGTTTCTGAGTGCTAGTCACTGAATTCAAGATTTCCTCTGTTTAAAAAAAAATGTTTTTTTTCTAATTCTTTATTTAATCTGTAATTCCTTCACACCTCACCAGTGGTTTTAAAAGTCCTTAGATGTGAATCTCGTGTCTTCCATGTGCCCAGCCCCAAGGGTGAACCAGCTCATGACTGTGGTGGAAACG